AATGAGGGAAAGTTGTATTGTTATTTACTTTTCACACTTTCACTATTAGGCCACAATATATCATATACTTTCCTCATTGGGCTAATAGAGAACCCAAGCAGTGTGGAATGAGGGAAAGTTGTATTGTTATTTACTTTTCACACTTTCACTATTAGGCCACAATATATCATATAAAATAATATTACATTAAAGAGATGTCATCAGTATTCAGAATAGTAGGACGATAGGATGTAAAACTGCATTTGATAAAAAAACGAAATCTTAATCCTATCGATCTGTTAATCCCAGGGGATTATCTTCTGAAGGTTTAAAACTATTGTTTATCTATTGTCTTGACTTCGTTCTTCAACAAACAAACAAATAGTAAGAGTCAAAATACACAGGTATGTTATGAATGTTCAATCGATGGTCTGACTTGAGAATGGTTTGTAGCTCAATCTGTTAGAGTGTTGAGATCTAGACATTACGTCATTGGATTAGTTCAATGGATGGTCTGACTTGAAGAAGGGTTGTAGCCAGATCAGTTAAAGTGTTGAGATCTAGGTATGACGTCATTTGCTTGGTTCAACAGGTGTCATTAATTTATGACATATAATTTATCAAATTGTGATTAGTGACGTCATCAAGCACTTAGTTTTAGTGGAATTGCATAAACCACAGACGTCTGATTGAAAATTAGAATGGTGTAAATTGATACTATCAGTGTCCCTGATATACATAAAAAATTTAGAAAACCTCTTTACAATCTCTTTAACAAGAACCACAGACGTCTGATTGAAAATTAGAATGATGTAAATTGATACTATCAGTGTCCCTGATATACATACTAAGTTTAGAAAACCTCTTTACAATCCCCCGAAATTTCTGCCGCTGTCAATTCAAAACAATATTTTTTTTTCTCTGCCTAATTAAAAAAAAACATTTCTCTCGAGTTTTAATTAGTTAACTCGATAATTAGATTAAGGCAATGTAAACAAATTAACAGACAATTTTTTGTTGACGTTACCTGTATAAACAAATAGAAGTGACATTGTAAACGATGTCAACATGCCAAATTCATTAGAGTTTTTGACATGTTTACAACATTTTAACTTTGACTTTTATGGTCTGTAGGTCTTGCCCAGTCCGCCCACTCCTCCACCCCCCACTTTCAGCTTTTGAAACAACATCTAAAAATACCACTTTTTAAAGGGACATGTTCGCCATCCGTTTGATCAATCATACCTAAGTCTCAGAAACAGGAATATTTTAGCTAAGCTAATCAGTAATAGTGTTCACAGTTCACTGTCGAAATTTGAGCCTAGAATTATCCACGTTTGAAAGTTAAAAAGGACACTCATCTTTTCTTAAGACTCTGTGATATATAGAAAATACCTCGATAGAAAAAGAACCCGAAATTTTTGAAGGAATTAGGCGATTTTTGTACATTTCTAGTATTTCTGAAGAATATTTACATATATTCAAGACTCAAATCAACCAAGCCAAGGACCATGTATAGTGTATTGTTGTATTTTTGAAGGAATTATGCAATTTTTGTACATTTCTAGTACTTCTGAAGACTATTTACATATATTCAAGACTCAAATCAACCAAGCCAAGGACCATGTATAGTGTATTGTTGTATTTTTGAAGGAATTATGCAATTTTTGTACATTTCTAGTACTTCTGAAGACTATTTACATATATTCAAGACTCAATTCAACCCCCCAAAATGGCGACTGTTCCCCTTTAACAACAAATAATATCAGACGAGAGACGAACGTTTGCTCAAATCATCCATGATAAAATGAGTTCAGTTTCCAGCCGTTTCCATCGTCATTGATGCATCTTAGATATGTCGATATTGAAAAAAAAAAGCGTCTAGTCGTTCGGCTCTGCATGCTACAGACTGTGAACGTTAAAGATCCCTCAACAGTTGGAAATCGAAAACAAAGCCCTGGTAAGATTTTCCTCATTGTACAACGCATGGTGTTGCCTATCATTAGCCGAATTAGGTGCAAAAAGTAGGACGCAAAACTATGAATTAATCAATCAAATATCTATACCTTCTCCAACACTGGGATTTTGTGACGAGAAAACAAGGTACATTCAGTGTCTAACGCTTCTCGGAATTCACCTTAAGTTCGCGTCACAAAATCCCAGCGTTGGATAGGACAGAAATTTGATTGGCTGGCGGTGTCATCAAACAGACGAATGTTCAAGAGGGCTGTCGTTAGACCCCAACTGAAGTGACTATTGAAAATAAAAGCTAATAAAAAACAAAAGGTTGATTTGATGAATGTTCAAGAGGGCTGTCGTTAGACCCTAACTGAAGTGGCTAAAATAAAAATAAAAGCTAATAAAAAACAAAAGGTTGATTTGATGAATGTTCAAGAGGGCTGTCGTTAAACCCTAACTGAAGTGGCTAAATTATTAAAAACGGAAGGACATTGTGATCTAATTTGAATTATATTAAAGACGATGTCGATCAGTTTTTAGATTAATAATAATAATCAAACCTAATCGAAAGTAAATATAGTTCATTATCATAATTAGGTTATCAAAATAGTCTATCTTTAAGGTTCGTTATCAAATAATAAATTGTCAAATTTTGATTAGACTGTTCCTTAGATCTTGTTTGACATATTCATTAAGTTATAATAACATTAGCCCCGACATAGGTAGAGATAATGCCTTCGGATTTTTCAACTCCGTTTCCCTTTGTCTGTGGGGGCCGTGGTGGCTCAATGAGTTAGATGCTTCTCGCTAGCCTTGAAGGTCCAGGGTTCAATCCTAGCATAGGTCAAGATAATACCTTTTTCTACTCAGTTTCCCCTTTGTCTGTGGGAGCCGTGGTGGCTCAGTGAGTAGACGCTTGTTAACCTAAAGGTCCAGCGTTCAATCCTGGCATAAGTCGAGATAATACATTCAGATTTTTCAACCCAGTTTCCCCCTGTCAGTAAGAGAGACTGACATGGAAAAAGCGTCTGGTCGTCCAGATGGGACAATAAACTGAGGCCCTGCGTGCTACAGGCTATGCACGTTAAATATCCCTCAACAGAAATTTAAAAGCAGTAGGCAAATTTTCCTCACTGCACACTGCATGTCGTTGCCTGCTTTCAATAACCTATTAGGTGCAGAAAAGTAGGATGTAAAACTCCATTCATTTCATTTTTGATTAAAATTGAAGAGTTGTTTTGAATGTTTTGGACAAAGCGAATCCTACCTCGCGAGCACTGTACATCACGGCTCTAGAAATAAACTTAATTCATAATGTAAATAAACACACAAAAGCGAAACGAAACTTCGACCCAATTTAAATGTGACATTTGCATGTATCAAATTTCGATGCATCTTCCTTTTCAACTGCCTTAATGTACCCGCTGAGTTTTAAATAGGGCTGAATTCATCGTGTCCAAACCAAAATACTTCCTTGTTAATAAGACAACAATATCAAAACCGTATCAGGGATAAAATGGGGCTGACCTATGTCGAATGTATTAAACGAATGTATATATAATTGCGTATCAAAATTTGAAACCAATGCATAGTTAAAGGGATTGTAAAGAGGTTTTCTAAATTTTATATGTATATCAGAGACACTGATAGCATCAATTTACACCATTCTAATTTTCAATCAGACGTCTGTGGTTCTTGTTAAAGAGATTGTAAAGGGGTTTTCTATATTTTTTATGTGTATCTAAATTGATGCTATCAGTGTCTCTGATACACATAATAAATTTAGAAAACCTTTTTACAATCTCTTTAACAAGAACCACAGACAACAAAAGAAGACAATTGTAAGCAATAAAAAAGAAAAAGGGGTGTTTTATAGAAGATATTTATAACAAGCTATATGAGGATTCTCTCACGAAACTGAGCTGGGATTCGACAAACACCTAATTTTATTGTCATAATAAAATATTTACATAGCGACTTTAAATCACCGACACTGTCGTCCTGCACGATTTATCAAAGAACTTTTTTATCCTGAGATTGTTGGACAACAGAGTCGTTCTTTTATTTTCACTCGTCTCTAGTTTATATTGTGTTTATCCTTTTATTGTACTTTTTTGAAGTAAAAAAAACTGTTTATTTGAAATCGAACAAAACATTTAAATACAAATCTGACCAAAATTTTATTTTTACGGTCAATTTCTGTGTATTAGGTACAATTTCTGAATATTGAATTCAAAATGAAATGAATGAGTTTTACGTCCTACTTTTCTGCATCTAATTTGGGTTAATAAAGTCGGACAACACCATGCAGTGTGCAATGATGGAAATTTTGCCAGGACAGCAGCATTAGCCTGATCTTTTACGATTTCCAATTGTCGAGGGATCTTTAACATGTACAGTCTGGAGCACACGGGGCCTCGGTTTATTGTCCCATTAGAACAACTAGACACTTTTTCCATGGCAGTCCCTCTTACCTGCCTCTCAAATAGGGGATAGCCGGATTGAAAATTCATGTTCTACAGACTGTTCACGTTAAAGATCCCTCGACAGTTGGAAATCGAAAAAGTGTAAGCTAAAGCCGCTGTCCTAGCAAAATTCCCCTCATTGTACACTTCATGGCGTTGCCTGTCTTCATTAACCCAATTAGAAACAGAAAAGTAGCACGTAAAACAACATTTCATTTCATAGCCCCATTGTACACTGCAGTATGTTGCTTGTCGTCATTAATCCATGGAACAGAAAAGTAGAGCATTAAATTTCATTCATTTTTAGTATTTACGAAAGTTTAGAACCCCATAGTACACTGCAATAGCTTACGTTGTTTCTTCATTAACCTAATTAGCAACAGAAAGTAGAACATAAAACTTCATTAATTTCCAGTATTTACGAAAGTTTATAGCCCCATAGTACACTGCAATAGCTTATGCTGGTCTTCATTAATCCATAGAACAGAAAGTAGAAGATAGAACTCCATTCATTTCAATTACATTTTAAAGAAAACTAAAACGAAAGTTCACGACCTTTAGATCGGAACAAAAACAATTCGGCAGTAGACTTGAATAACAAGTTTTACGATGCCATGAAAGAAACCAGAAACTTTTGTTTATAGAAAGACGAGAACTGGGTTATTACTTTTACAATTTAAATCAGAACACATTTTAAAGTTTATTTTAACATCACGGTGCCTTTGTTATCGGAGAATTTTGTACCGTGTGAAACAGGAATTACTGCCAAACGAGTCAAAACGGTACCAAAAGTCTTTGGAATCGGGTCGCGTCAAAGATTTGTGTTGTGTGTGGAACTAGGTTAATGCGTTTAAACTTGTAAACTATTTTAACTCTAGTTTTCGTTGACTGTGTATGTTTTCGGGATGTTTTTAATTTTCACGATATCGTTATTTTTGGTAAGTATAGCTTATGATTTGATATTTCCCTTTGCATAGTCGAACGTTTTAGGTTTTAAGTTGAATTGAAGAAAGTTGATTTTCGAATTTGTGGTTCTTAAATTTGGGCAGCCTGTGTGTATTACAAAGCAAACTTCCAAAGTATTATATGTCTTATGTCTGCGTACACAAATCTATTATGAGGACGGGGTGTAGCAAAGTCGGTTCGTATTGCGGTCAGTGTGTGAAAGTCTGGTGACCTTGAATAAGTCATCTTTCCTCATTATTCCAGTCAATCCAGCTGTAAATGGATACGGATAATCTGGGAAAGATCAATACCAAGAAGTTTTGCCAAGGACCAACTTATACAAAGGATCCTTGTGAACCTAAGTTGTTCTAATTGTAAAATCATCACTAGAGGTTTGAGTAAGGACCGGTCTGTAGAAAGGATCCTTGTGAACCTAAGTTGTTATCCTTGTAAAATCATTACCAAGAGGTTTGACCAAAGAACAGCTGGTAGAAAGGATCCTTGTGAACCTAAGTTGTTATCCTTGTAAAATCATTACCAAGAGTTTTGACCAAAGAACAGCTGGTAGAAAGGATCCTTGTGAACCTAAGTTGTTATCCTTATAAAATAAAGTTTCTTTCTTTTCATTTCTTGTTTCTTCGTTTATTTAGGTGTTTGGATTAAGTGAAGCTAAAAAGGGACCATGTTTTAATTTTAATGGAAACGATTATTTAAAATACAGACTAGAAAATGTAGATATAGCACACAAGTAAGTAGACGTTTTTAAGTTGTTTTACTTTTATAGTACGTTTGCATTGGGCGTGATTGATACTTGTGATATTGATATCACAATCTTATACCTTGACTGCAATAGCCGCTATTCTTGTATCACATCTTCACAATGTCAAGCTATTACAAACCTGATCTTCACAATGTCAAGCTATTACAAACTTTGTCTTCACAATGTCAAGCTATTACAAACTTCATCTTCACAATGTCAAGCTATTACAAACTTCATCTTCACAATGTCAAGCTATTACCAACTTCATCTTCACAATGTCAAGCTATTACAAACTTCATCTTCACAATGTCAAGCTATTACAAACCTCATCTTCACAATGTCAAGACATTAAAAACTTTGTCTTCACAATGTCAAGCTATTACCAACTTCATCTTTACAATGTCAAGCTATTACAAACTTCATCTTCACAATGTCAAGCTATTACAAACTTCATCTTCACAATGTCAAGACATTACAAACTTTGTCTTCACAATGTCAAGCTATTACCAACTTCATCTTTACAATGTCAAGCTATTACAAACTTCATCTTCACAATGTCAAGCTATTACAAACTTCATCTTCACAATGTCAAGCTATTACAAACTTTGTCTTCACAATGTCAAGCTATTACAAACTTCATCTTCACAATGTCAAGCTATCACAAACTTTGTTTTCACAATGTCAAGCTATTACCAACTTCATCTTATACATTGACCGCAATAGCCACTATCACGGAAGTTTGTAAATGAAGCTATTTGATTGGATTGTACGCTATCATCCAATTAAATAGCTGCATTCCGGGATACAAGAAAGGTGGCTATTGTAGTCAAGGTATAAGACAAAGTTCGTAATAGCTTGACATTGTGAAGATACAAGAAAGGTGACCATTGCAGTCAAGGTATAAGACGAAGTGCAAATTGTGAAAAAACATTGTTGAAAAAAGACACTTCGTCTTTCCTAGCAAAAAATTCTCCATGCCCACTTCATGGTGTTACGCCTTATATGTCTAAAAAAATCAATTTTTGCTCTTTCAGTGTTTGGTATAAACTAACTTTTAAAACAGAACAAGAAAACGGACTACTTCTGTACGCGGAAGGTTCTCATGATTATGAAGCAATATTCCTACGCGGTGGAAAGTTACACTATTTCTTGTTTAACCCGAGTAGCCACGGTGTCGGAGGAACGTTTGGTGGACAGTTTAAAAGCGATGCTAAGGTCAATAATGAAACTTGGATTACTGTGAGTATTTCTTTTAGAATCCCTGCCCCACCCAAAACCCCCACACCCACCGACCTCTTAAATCCACACATGCTAAACTAACTAAAAGTTATCACCAACCAAAAAAAAACTATCAAACGACTAAGCGTTTTATGATGTCAATTGGAAATTGATAAAGAGTAGGCTAATGCTGCTGTCCTGGCAAAATTCCCCCCATTGTACACTGCATTAGCCAAATCAGGTTCAGAAAAATAGAACGTGTAACTCCTTTTACACATGTTTCAGTGCTCTTATTTAAAGATCCCTCGACAGTTGGAAATAGAATAGAGTAGACTAATGCTCCTTCCCAAACAGGTTCAGAAAAGTAGGACGTAAAACTCCATTCATTTCATTTACTTTCAGGTAGAAGTGTTCCGAAACCGAGAACCAAAGTTGATGCAAAACGATCCTCTAATCGGAATGGTGTTGACTAGCGAAGATGGCGAGAAAGAGAAACATATCGAATACGGGGCTCGACATGACGTCCAGATAGTTCTTCCTATTTACATTGCTGGTACAAACAAAGATTTGGTACGTTTCCTTGGGCTAATGCCGCTGTCGTGGCAAAATTTTCCCTCATTGCACACTGCATGGCGTTGTCTGTCTTCATAAGCCCACATGGTGCAGAAAAGTAGGACGTAAATCGAGGCTGAATTCAAAATGTGGCAACTTTGTAGAGGTGTCAAAGTCGAGAGCTTCTCACAGAGCCTTCCAGGACTGGGGATACAAAAAGGGGACAGACTGACTCAATGGGGGGACAACTAACAAGTCTGAATTCAAAACTCAGTAACTCTCTGGAGGTGTCATAGTCGAGAGCTTCTCATAGAGCCTCCCGAGACTGGGGATACAAACAGGGAGCAGACTGACTCTATGGGGGACAACTGTCAAAGCTGAATTCAAAATACAGCAACTCTGTAGAGGTGTCATAGTTGCAAACCTTTCCTGGAGCTTCCCAAGACTGAGGGGTACAAATAGGGGCGGACTGACTCAATGGGGAGACAACTGTCAAGGCTGAATTCAAAATACAGCAACTCTGTAGAGGTGTCATAGTCGCAAACATCTCAAGGAGCGTCTGAGAGGATTGAATTGATTTGGTTCATTTTGACACATATTTTGAGACAAATAACGTATAAAAATCATATTTTGAAATTTGTTGAAGATAAAGTGGGACGTGTAAACCAATTTTCTAGGGGAGGGGGGGGGGGGGGAATACACGTACCCCTCCTGACGTCGCCATTGATGCCAATGTAAACAGAATGACGAAGTTTTCTCAGGAATATTTTCTGTTTTTTTACAGGGTGCCGGAGGGCAGAAATTCGTGGGTCAGATTAAAGACATGAGAGAAAAGTTGAGTGGTGCGGTTTTTAACGAGCCAACATGGAACAGTGGAGCTTTAAGATGTCTGGATATTCGCCCAGCACAATAACACGTCTTCAATGGTGGAGATGTAGTCTCGAACTAACAGTACAGTCCAACATAGGAACATAGCTTTACCGATTCAAAATTAAAGAGATTGTAAAGAGGTAACAAGAGCCACAGACGTCTGATTGAAAATTAGAATGATGTAAATTGATGCTATCAGTGTCTCTGATACACATACAAAATTTAGAAAACCTCTTTACAATCTCTTTAACAAGAACCACAGACGTCTGATTGAAAATTAGAATGATGTAAATTGATGCTATCAGTGTCTCTGATACACATAAAAAATTTACAAAACTTCTTTACAATCTCTTTAACAAGAACCACAGACATCTGATTGAAAATTAGAATGGTGTAAATTGATGCTATCAGTGTCTCTGATACACATAAAAAATTTAGAAAACTTGTTTACAATCTCTTTAACAAGAACCACAGACATCTGATTGAAAATTAGAATGGTGTAAATTGATGCTATCAGTGTCTCTGATACACATAAAAAATTTAGAAAACCTGTTTACAATCTCTTTAACAAGAACCACAGACATCTGATTGAAAATTAGAATGGTGTAAATTGATGCTATCAGTGTCTCTGATACACATACAAAATTTAGAAAACTTCTTTACAATCTCTTTAACAAGAACCACAGACATCTGATTGAAAATTAGAATGGTGTAAATTGATGCTATCAGTGTCTCTGATACACATACAAAATTTAGAAAACTTCTTTACAATCTCTTTAAAAATAGTTTGAAGATACAATTTTTCAATTCAAAATAAAGATTTTTGTATATACCCAATAAAGCAGAGAAAAGTAGGACGTAAAACTCATTCATTTCATTTTACTTTGTACATCTATATACAATAAATGAATAAATAGTACATACAATTAAAGATGGGTTTCCTTATTATTTTAGTGTCAAATTAAGCGAACTATTTGATTAATTGATGTTTCTAATGAATTATCATGTATTCTTAATCATATCATGATGTTCTTATTGCATATAATTAAAGATGGGTTTCCTTTTTTTTAGTTTCAAATTAAGCAAACTATTTGATTAATTGGTGTTTCTAATGAATTATCATGTATTCTTAATCATATCATTATGTTCTTATTGCATATAATTAAAGATGGGTTTCCTTATATTTTAGTGTCAAATTAAGCAAACTATTTGATTAATTGGTGTTTTTAATGAATTATCATGTATTCTTAATCATATCCTTATGTTCTTATTGCATATAATTAAAGATGGGTTTCCTTATATTTTAGTGTCAAATTAAGCAAACTGTTTGATTAATTGATGTTTCTAAGAATTATCATGTATTCTTAATCATATCCTTATGTTCTTATTGCATATAATTAAGAGTTTTAACCAATCATAAATTCGCAATGTCGACCATAAAATCTTTTAGGCCCATTAAAATAACAAATTTCAAGCAGACATATATACACCCGAGCTGGGCCTTCTTCTCGAGGTACTCCTCGCTCTAAAAGATCTAACTGCTGCAGATCTAGGCCGCCTAGTTTCCAGCTTTCCTCTTTCAAAGACCTTGTTTACTTTCTTTTGGGGTGGGGCCGTTGATTTACAATCCAATATTTGACCAGCGTCCGATTTAGCCACCGCCAGGCAAGGATTTTTCAAGACTACGATGTCCTTTTCTGTCAGATGCGTCTTCTGTTGTTTTGGCTTTACCACGCATTCTGTGACGTCCCCACTGATTCCCAAAGCTGTTTCCAGAAAAGAGGACTGGTGAAGTTTAAGATTACCTCCAACAACTGCGTCAGTTGCGTCTACTGAAGATATGGATCTGACGTTGGCATCTTCATTGTGTACTAAGGCCGTAGTTGTAAGTGTGGCGGATTGGTTCCCATCTGAGGAGGATTTGGCGTCTTCTTTGTATACTATGGTCCGAGTTGTAAGTGTAGGGGTACGTGGGTATTTGGCGGATTGGTTCCCATCTGATGTGGAATCTTCTTTGCATACTATGGCCGTAGTTGTAAGTGCCGAGGAACTTGGGAGCTTGGCAGATTGGTCTCCATTTGTTGTAGGGGAGTCACTTTCGGACGTAACGGATCCACTACTAGACCCTTGATCGCTTGATATCGCAGGCGCTGACTGAATGAGAGTTTCTATTAACTTTGAGTATTGTTGTTCTGGTTGAACCTGGTCGGATGATGCATCTTCATCCGTATCACCACCTCGAACACAAGAAATTTCATCTGCAATATTGAAAGAACTTTTGTCCAAATGCATCTGTTTTGCCTTCACTAGATGTTCCAGCTGGCTCATTATGCCCTCAATGTTGATTTCTGGACGATGTACTTTGGAGTAAGGTTCGTCTTCAGCATCTTCACGTTTGATGTAAAATTGCTCCAGATTTTTTAGGACATCTTCATCAAGCATTCCGCGTTGAGATCCAGTTGGTGCATTATGACCAGACGTGGACACAACATCTTTAGGAACTTCTTCGGTGTTACGCTTTTGAGGACTGTTATCGGGTGTTGGAGATGCCACAATTTCCGGTCCCTGGTCTTTCTGATGAGAGTTCGCACGAGGACCATACTTATCTGACCACGAAAGGGTACTGGTAACAGAAGAAGCTCTTGACAATCCACGACCAAGAACGTTTTCTTTATCATCCGCAGGTACATCTGCGTTCAACTCCTCAGCATCAACTCGGCCACGAAATTCATCCGTCTTCTCTTGCATATCGTATACAAGTGAGGTCTCCAAATGTGACGGTTCGTGGTAAGGCTTTATAATGACCGACATTTCTGACTGTGTAGCAGAGCAAGATGGAATGAATTCACCACGAGCGACTTCTGGAGGGCTGGTATCGGATCCTAACAGAAAGTTGTAGTGCTTGACATCTTCGGAGGAGGAACTCGTAATTTCACTTGTTGATGGTTCTGGATTGTTTTCATTGTTGAGATCAATTGCTACCTCTTTGAGGTTCGAGATGGCTTTGTAGATCTCAGATTGACTGAGATATCCCGGATGAACGACCGCCGGAGAACTTGTTTCACCACGAGATTCATTGGATAAGGGACTAGCTATTTTTTGGGAAATACCACTTTTTGGTCGTGACTTAGGTGGGATTCCACAACTTGGTTCTTGTGAAGATTGTTGCAGGTCCTCTGTATTTGTTGAAGGGTTGTATTCTGTTGTAATGTAATATTCCTGCTCATTCTCGCTGTACCCTTTCTCGTTGAAATTCCCTCGATTTTCCGGAAGATATTGATAATCACCTCTTTCGTCTGGGTCATTCCCCGGAAGGTTTTTCGGGGTAGAAAATTTAAACTTCGGCCACTCGTCTTCCCATTGGCTACCTCGACTAGGTGGACGTCTTGTGGCTGACCGTTTCCTACTGTTTCCACGACCATCTTTATGATATCCTTCGGAACCTCTGGAAAGGTATTCAACGTCACTTCCAGATACTTGAGAGTCGTGAGTGTCACTTTCAGAACTTTTTGGAATTTCCTCGGCAAGATTTGAGACGTTTTGTTGACCGGTAGAGATATATTCAGGAACTAATGGGGTCTCCTCGCCTCTTGGTATATCTGCATCCTCTGTTGACGATTCTTGAGCATTGAAGCTGACGTTTCTCTCGGGCATTGGAACTGTTTCAGTCGTTGAATAAGTTGTAATATCATTTTCTTTCGTCGAATCGGGCGTTTTCAAGAACCTCGGACTGGGTGTAGGGGAAGCTTGGGAGAAGCGTCGATCAGTAACAATGCTAGCTGGTAGAGAGGCAGTACCATTCTTTCCCAGCATATAATACTCTTCTCTCGATATAGAGTGTTGGGACTCGTTGTCACTCTCATCGCAGATGCCACGGGATTGAGTTGAAGTGGCGTCCTCGCTAGCTCTGTGGAACTCGTCTGATTCGTCAACAAATACGTCATCATCTCCAGTGCCGGCTACGCTCATCTCGGATTTCTCCCGGTTCAGGACAGCCGTGAGGTTTAAGTCAATCAATTGCTTATCCCTAGATCTTCTGACTGATGTCTTCGGACGATGGGATCGTTGAGGCTGAAACGGTGTTGAGGATCGCGGAGTGTCTATACTTTCTTCACTGACGGAATCTGAGCGGATTGAACTACGTTTCAGAAGTCTAGAAGACGGACGAAGCAATGTATATCTTGGAGAACAGGAGCTGGAAGCCGATGAAGACGAATCGTCAAGATTAGGCCTTGTTCTTTGTGCTGAATTACCACGTTTTTGCCGTTCTGGTGATTTTCTTGGCGTCAGGGGATTTCTTGGTTTTCTTTGTTTCGCCCCATCTTCAAACTGAACTGCAGATTTTCCTGCTTTGGGACTCTTCGATCTTCTTGGGCTGTAGACTTCGCCAGTGGACAAACGATAGTACCGAAGAACAGACGAATTTGATGAGTCCGAAGAGTCAATTTCTTGATAGCTGGATGGAGTTTCCAACGATTCCTGTGTTGAAGCTGGACTGTTGGTTCGAGTGGAGGTGTCTTTATCAACATTTCGCTCATTGTCCGAGCTGGAAATGCTTAAATCTTCGGAGTCGGAATTGTAGTTGATGTTAAGAGAGGAACTTTTACGACCTAGTCTGGATTTACAGCGATCCCCGGGATTTCCAGATTCCCGTGGAGTTTTCTGAAAGTTATCTGTTGGTTGTTCTGGGAGGAAAATTTCATCATCTGGTTGTCGTGGTGATAGTATGACGTCATCATATGGTTGTCGTGGTGATTGGATGACGTCATATGGCTGCTGTGCTCTGATTACGTCATCATCAAATTGGCTTTGATCAGCCTCTGATGACGTTACTGAAGAACTATGTGGATTTGTTTCTTCTCGAAAGTTGATGACTTTATAAGTGGCTTCTGAAGATCCTGAACTGGGCGGAGATTGAAAGGTTACTACTGCTCTGGATGTATCAACTTGTGGACTATTTGAACTCTGGTTTGAATCTCCTGAACATCGACCACTGGCGGCTGGACTGAAATAGAAATTTGAATTTTATTCAGCGATGATCCCAATGATGCCTTTGTCAGTGCTTCCGAGAGTCGACCGGGTGTCCACTCTCAACCACTAATACTTATGTTAGTTAATTAGACTAGTTATTTTATTGGTGTACACTGCATGGCGTTATCCCTCTTCAGTTTGTGTTTGTTGAAAAAACAGTTCCATCCATAACATTAATGTTTAGTTGTGTTATTGTGTCCAAGAAAGCCACTAGTCGATTGTCACCTTTCGACAGTAATTTCCCTTAGTGTACACTACATGGCGTTGACCTTCTTTATTGCCCAAAATTAGTGAATTAACAAATCAATAGTTAGTTTGTTTAGTTAATGTGTTATTGAGTCCAGCTCTTTGATTGTCACTCTTCAACAGTAATTTCCCTCAGTGTACACTGCACATCGTGTTAGTTGAAAAAACAGTTAAAGTGTTATTGTGTCTATCAGAACCTCAACGTCTAGCTCTTAATAAAGAAACTGACCTCATACTACCTTTATAAGTTATCTCCCTTTGATTTCGTCTGGGACTGGCTTTATTTCCATCTAATCCTGCCAAAGAAATAAAACACTATTTGTCAAAATGTCATCATGCGTTAAGGATCCGATACGGATAACAACTTAGGCTCATGAGGATCCTTTGTACCAGCTGGTCCTTGTACAAACCTCTTAGTATTGATCTTTCCTGGATTATCTGTACCCATTTACAGCTGGGTTGACCGAGAATCGATCCCACGACAACTATTTATTCGACGTAACTAAGCAAATGACGTCATGTATAGATTTCAACGATCAAACCGACTGTGCTATAAACCGGCCTCAGAGCAAAAAGCTGAATGCATAGGTAGGGAAAATTTGGGCCATGCTGGATAGGGAATAACAAACGCACCAGCTTTTAAATAGAAGTCCATATAATTTTTGGTATTCAATGCTGCTCCGACATGGTTGGAATAATTCTGGACTTTACCATTATTTGGTATTCGAGGACAAACGTTGTGTATTTGTTGTAATTCTTGGACTGGATGATTGTCCTAAAATAGAACAATAGAACATTAAAGCTACCATGCTTTGATAAAAGTAAAATCAGTGGTTTGAGAAAGTGTGTGTCCACCGTTTTTTGGCCAGTGCTTCTGTAGGAGAGTATTTTCTATAACATTCAATACTAGCAGTATTACATTCCAATTTTCAATAAGATGTCTGTGATTCCTGCAATTCTATTAGAACTAAGCGTGCATTATATAGCAGCTTTTGTGATAGTAACGTCATAAAATGCTTAGATTTAGTGGAATTGCAAGGACCATAGACATCTGATTGAAAACTGGAATGGTGTAAATTGATGCTATCAGTGTCTTACCGTGATAGCTTAGGTAAGAATTTTTTTCACTTACGTAAACTTCATTGGCATATAGTTCTAATCTTCTAGTTTGTTTGGCTCCAACCATTGTGTTGGTTGAACGAGGTGTTTTAATGGCTATTGGGCGATATTGATATCGCCTTGAAAAACTGAAATTGAAATAGGTTTCAAATATTGAGATGTTTTAAACACATGGGTTTACCATCGTATCCCGAATACGGGTTTTGATAGGGTCTTATTAACCCGTATTAAACTAAGCCCACTACACGTCGTTTTGGGGGCGTGGAAATAAGTTTTTGTCCATCTGTTTTTGTTCTAGATTTTCCAAATCTCGAGGTAACTTGTGAACATGATTTAAATCAAGATGTGGTTAATTTATCTGACAAATCGTCGCTGTTCATGTTTTCACCCCCTGGGGATCTGGGACTAGGATGTCAGGGGTGTGGCCAACTGGTGTAGGAGAAGAATTTATTTTGAATTGAGAGAGCAACCACATCATCACATGCTGAAAATGTGGATGAAACAAATTTTTGGGGGTGTGAAAGGTCCAGGTGATTGCTCCAGGGATGTGAAGACTGAGAAAGGTTGGGAATCATTGATGTAAGGTGTCCACATCAAAGGTTACCTCTCAAGGTAAGAATAATGCTGTTGCCTGTACCAGTGCTTCCGAGAGTCGGTCCGGTATTATAACTAAATCCTTTCTATTTCCTATGAATAACTACTAACCTATCCTGTGTTGATTTGGATGTCGCTGGTTTTTGTTGGGTTGATTTATTGTTGATTTCATTGGGCGTGGTTGATTTTGGTCGTGTTTTAGATTTATTCGGTTGTTGACCACTCAGTGTCTTAGCACTTTTTGACCTTGATCTTTCTTCGGTTTGTTTAAATTCTTTATTATTTGGCCTTGACCTTTGAACCTTTTCTGATTGGTTATTACGCGACCTTGACCTAGAAGTCTGCTCTGTCTTCAATTCTGATTGGTTATTCCGTGACCTTGACCTAGAAGTCTGCTCTGTCTTCAATTCTGATTGGTCATTGTGCGACTTTGACCTTAGTGTCTGCTCTGTCCTCAATTCTGATTGGTTATTCCGTGACCTTGACCTTGGAGTCTGCTCTGTCCTCAATTCTGATTGGTTATTTCGTGACCTTGACCTAGGTGTAGTTTTCAGTGATTTTTCAAATTCCGTGCTTTCGAGTAGTCTATACATTACATCATATTTGTGCTGAAAAGGAATTTGAAAAAAAAGATTTCACCAGTGTTTGCGATAGTGGTGCTCTTAGTTTCAATGGAATTACAGGAACCACAGACGTCTGATTGAAAATTAGAATGGTGTAAATTGATGCTATCAGTGTCCCTGATATACATAAAAAATTTAGAAAACCTCTTTACAATCTCTTTAACAAGAACCACAGACATCTGATTGAAAATTAGAATGGTGTAAATTGATGCTATCAGTGTCCCTGATATACATAAAAAATTTAGAAAAAAACCTCTTTACAATCTCTATAACAAGAACCACAGACATCTGATTGAAAATTAGAATGGTGTAAATTGATGCTATCAGTGTCCCTGATATACATAAAAAATTTAGAAAAAACCTCTTTACAATCTCTATAACAAGAACCACAGACGTCTGATTGAAAATTAGAATGATGTAAATTGATGCTATCAGTGTCCCTGATATACATAAAAAATTTAGAAAACCTCTTTACAATCTCTTTAACAAGAACCACAGACATCTGATTGAAAATTAGAATGATGTAAATTGATGCTATCAGTGTCCCTGATACACATAAAAAATTTAGAAAAAACCTCTTTACAACTTCTTTAACAAGAACCACAGACATCTGATTGAAAATTAGAATGATGTAAATTGATGCTATCAGTGTCCCTGATACACATAAAAAATTTAGAAAAAACCTCTTTACAATCTCTTTAACAAGAACCACGGACATCTGATTGAAAATTAGAATGATCTAAATTGATGCTATCAGTGTCCCTGATACACATAAAAAATTTAGAAAAAACCTCTTTACAATCTCTTTAACAAGAACCACAGACATCTGATTGAAAATTAGAATGATGTAAATTGATGCTATCAGTGTCTCTTTAAGAAAATTGGTTCTGTAGAACTTAATAAAGTTATCTCAGACGTTTAAAAGACGAAATGCGCTTAGTTTTAATTTAAAATCTTACCATTCTGGGTGATACTCGATAACAACCCTCGGGATCAAACTTTCTCTCTCGTTCATCTATGTTTAAATACATCTCTCTACAAATAGAAAACATTAAACAGAACCTGAAACATGTTGTTACTCAGAGTTTCACGCTGTGCGATCTTCAGACAACTAAAACAGAACCTGAAACATGTTGTTACTCATAGTTTCACGCCGTGCGATCTTCAGACAACTGACCTATTTTCAGCCTGCGCACCTACTAGAGAGCGATATAGAAATATTAAAACAGAACCCGAATCATGTTGTTACTCAGAGTTTACTGTTCGATCTTCAGACAACAGATCTATTTCAGCCTGCGTGTCTATTGAATTTAGGGGAAGGAACAACCCCAATTGTACGGTCATTTTGCTTCTGATACAAACAAGGCTATTTGGATATAGTGAGTCACAGTCTCATCTATTAAACTATAAGTACTACTATATAGTATAAATTAAACATCAGATAAGGTAAAGTACTAGAAGAAGTGAAATATAGACCCTATTTAAGTTGATTTATGAATTAATATTAGCCAAACAATTGGTCCTTTGTCTAAAGATGGGTTCCCTTAATTTCATTCATGAATGCTAATGTTAATACTTATATGAATAGAAAGTAGAGGTGTTCTAATGACTTGGAAAAATACCAGTTTGTCTCACATGTCCATAATTAATTCATAATTAACTAAATTAGAAGAGAATTACCAACAGAATTCTAACACCACGCAATGCGCAACGAGGGAAAATCATACCATTAACATTAGTCTACTAATTTTGTTTCCAACTGTCTAGAGATCTTTAACTTGGACTAATAGATTAACTATAGTATACAGCGCTATTTAAGGTTTTGTATTGTCTATATTTTGATAAGACCATGCAGTGTACAATGAAGGAAAATTGTGCCCAGACATTGACATTAGTTTCGATTTCCAACTGCCTGGGGAACTTTGACTTGAAGAGCTCCAGTTTATTGGCTTGCCTGAACGACTAGACATTTTTCATGCCAGCAAATGACGTCATGACAAGATTTCAACGCTCTAATAAACTGAGCTACATCCCTCCCTCGAAATAATCAAGAATGATATCATAATAAAACCTACACTGTTTGTTCGATATTAATAAGCAAATGACGACATGTATGTATTTCAACACCCTAACCGACTACGCTACATCCCTCCCCCAAAATATTCAAACTTGATATTATATTTTTTACTATTAAACTTATGGACATCGTTTGTACCATATTTGGACCTTTCAAAAACTAAATTTTTTCACTTACAATTTTCGGGAGACGAGGTCTGTAATATCCTTCAAATCTCGTGGGGTAAGCCCCGACATCTTAAAATATCTGCCGTTTTTTTGCCAATTTCAAAAAATTCACATCGTAGGAAAATGACGACGAAAATCAGCGACGTACAAATCAAGTTTCATGTCGCGGGGATTATCGTCGAATAAGTTCTTTAGTTACAAACAAAATAAATCTAGATCTTTAGATTAGATAAGCGGATTAGCCTTAAAGGGATTGTAAAAAGGTTTTCTAAAAATGTTCATGTGTATCAGAGACACTGATAGTATCAATTTACACCATTCTAATTTTCAATCAGACGTCTGTGGTTCCTGCAATTTCACTAAAACTAAGTGTTTGATGACGTCACTAATTGCGTAGAGCCTTGTGTGATGAAGCAAACTTCGTTATTAGTGACGTCATCAAACATTTAGTTTTAGTGCAATTGCAGGAACCACAGATGTCTGATTCAAAATTAGAATGTTGTAAATTGATGCTATCAGTGTCTCTGATACATATAAAAAATTTAGAAAACCTCTCTACAATCCCTTTAATATAACCCCCAAATATCTTAATCCAATGCGGAAGCTATATCTGCAATGCACGCCAAAATATACCACTACTGTACTAATAGTTATTTTGGTAGGAATAGTTGACTATTCTGATCAAAACACCGTAATGATGTTAAAAGTTTCGGGGTTATTCGGCAAATCTCGGTAGTTTCCGTAACTTTATACCGTTTGCTTTGGGTAGCCCTTAGCCAGGGTTGATTGTTCGGAGGGGCGAGTAATATATCTGGAGGGGCAAGTAATATATCTGGAGGGGCAAGTAATATATCTGGAGGGGCAAGTAATATATCTGGAGGGACAAGTAATATATCTGGAGGGACAAGTAATATATCTGGAGGGACAAGTAATATATCTGGAGGGGCGAGTTATATATCTGGAGGGGCAAGTAATATATCCAGAGGGGCAAGTAATATATCTGGAGGGGCAAGTAATATATCTGGAGGGGCAAGTAATATATCTGGAGGGACAAGTAATATATCTGGAGGGACAAGTAATATATCTGGAGGGACAAGTAATAAATACGAAAAGAATATGTAAATTTTATTTTGACATCATTTATTGGAGTTATCTACCTTACAACATGACCTTTGACACTAAAGGTACCCTCACACTATAGTGATTACTAGTTGCGTATGGTTGTAAATAATGAAAGTGGCCATGAGTACCGAACGCAACTCACAATTCTGTTACATGAGAGTTGCGTTCGAAACTTACGACCGCTATTCTTATTCGCAACTGGTCATTGAAATGGTGTGAAGGTATCTTTAAGCTGGAATATTATAAATAGTCTAGAAACAGAGTTTTAACAAAATTAAAAATCATGAACAAACACAACGATTTAAAGATAGTTTCCCTTATTTTTATTTATGAAAATGCTAATACTTATATGAATAGAAAGTAGAGGTGTTCTAATGACTTGGAAAAAAACCAGTTTGTCTCACATGTCTATAACTAATGTAGAACTACCAGCAGAATTCCAAGGACCTCACGGTTAGTAACGTCATCAAACACTTAGTTTTAGTGGAATTGCAGGAATCACAGACATCTGATTGAAAATTAGAATGATGTAAATTGATGCTATCAGTGTCTCTGATACACATAAAAAATTTAGAAAACCTTTTTACAATCTCTTTAACAAGAACCACAGACGTCTGATTGAAAATTAGAATGATGTAAATTGATGCTATCAGTGTCCCTGATACACATAACAAATTTAGAAAACCTTTTTACAATCTCTTTAACAAGAACCACAGACGTCTGATTGAAAATTAGAATGATGTAAATTGATGCTATCAATGTCCCTGATACACATAACAAATTTAGAAAACCTTTTTACAATCTCTTTAACAAGAACCACTGACATCTGATTGAAAATTAGAATGATGTAAATTGATGCTATCAGTGTCTCTGATACACATAAAAAATTTAGAAAACATCTTTACAATCTCTTTAACAAGAACCACAGACGTCTGATTGAAAATTAGAATGATGTAAATTGATGCTATCAGTGTCCCTGATACATATAAAAATTTAGAAAACCTTTTTACAATCTCTTTAACAAGAACCACAGACGTCTGATTGAAAATTAGAATGATGTAAATTGATGCTATCAGTGTCCCTGATACATATAAAAATTTAGAAAACCTCTTTACAATCTATTTTAAGTACGACGTTGCATGAGTGTAATATCTAATTATAATAGTAATAATCGTCCCCAGTTTGGGAGAAGAATGAGGTGGCGATCTTAGCTACCATCTTCTGGAAGTTGGGTCTTTTCTTGGGGTTATCTTCCCAACAGCTTCTTATTATCCCTTGATACCTAAAAATTAACATAAGATTACTTGGGGATTGTCTGTAATGTGATATTAGTTACTAAAGACTGGGCCCCGTTTCTCAAAAAGTCTTACGATTGATAGCAAGAACTTATTAACTTTTGAAATGAATACTGGTAACCAAGCACGTGACGTCATGTGACGATTCCGACGCCATAACTGACTGCGCTATAGCCAAATAAACTTCTAAATGAAAAGAAATGAAATGAATGGAGTTTTACGTCCTACTTTTCTTCACCTAATGGGTAATGAAGACGGGCAATGCCTTGCAGTGTGCAATGAGGGAAATTTTGCCAGACAGCAGCATTAGCCTTCTCACTTATGCTAGGAGTATATCCTACTCTTCTGCACCTAATGGGCTAAAGAAGACGACAAAATACTTACAAGACGTCAGAATATTCGGGCATAGACATTCGATAACCACTACGTATCTTCTCTTCAACTTCCCGGCTACGAATATCACTGTATGGTGTTTCACCTTAAATTAACGAGAAATAATTCAGAGCTTTGTTTAACAAATTCTCAGTGAACTAGATGAGTAGAGGTTTGTGGACTAGTGTGGGTTGATGCCCTTCCCCCGGGCCCCGGAATACGCTTTGTGTGTTAACGTCTTAGATAATTAGTTCAGTAGGCTTATGTGATTTTTAAATTTTGCATTTTTTTCAGGGCGTGGAATCCCCCTAAGGAGTGGACTCGTGGACTTGGTTCAACCAGTCCTATGATAGTTGTAAAGATTTGTGATAAAGGGGTCAGCGTAAATGTGACAAGTTCGACATCAAAATGACCTTACCCAGACTGAAGATCTCCCAAAGAACAACACCAAACGACCAAGCATCGCTTTTCTCATTAGCGTTCCTCAATGACGTCATACACTCGGGCGCTGTCCATTTCATCGGGATACGTTCCTAGAAAAAATAGATAAATATTAATAATTACTAAGTTGATTAATTTCAAAAAAAGAGGAATCGTTCAAGGTCACCAAAATTTCGAGATTACAATCCACGACCACCATGAGTTCGGCGTAACCATGCAAATGACGTCATGCATACCGACTGTGCCAATATCCAAATGTTAATCTATACTCCAAGCTCAAAACGATCTTGGCTTACGACGATCTTGGCTTACGATTTTGGGGTTAACGTACACGCAAGAAAAATAAAACAATGTTACTTTGTCCGAATCGTCATTCATTTCAGTTTTTGATGGTCCAAAACCACTGACTTTAGCTTCCAAGATGAACGTCAGCAGAACGTTTCGAGCAGCAAGTCTCTTGTGAACTATCTAAAATGAGATCGAATGGAAAGGTACAAGACCGGCCAATCGGGTTCGAAGTAAACTTCAGGGGAGGGGTTTGGTACAATCTAATCAAACAGTTTTGTATCTTTTTGTTTTCGGATATTTCTAGTCTATATGGTAATCTAACATGTTTTCTACCAAAGGCCTGTTCTAGAGATATTATTTTTAACCAATCAAAGCCAAGGAGGCTGTCGTATTGTTCAACTCGATATAACCGGGCTAATGACGTCATGTAAAGATTCGAACGCTCTAACCAACAGTGCTATAACCTGTCCACAAACGTTCATCACGGCAAACGTATCTATTTGCCAAGCATTAGGGGCTGTCCTCATTAGCCCACATGGTGCAGAAAAGTCGTACGTAAAACTCCATTCATTTCAGTTCATTTCACGCATTAAGGAGTGAGAGGGTGGGAGGGGGCGAGGTTTGCCCTGATGATGATAATAACGTATACCATACCTTCTTAGAGGCAAGATAGGCCATTCCCTTACAAACACCAAAAGCAATTCTTTGAAGCTTTTCAGTGACGTCTGATGAAACGTGGAGCCATTTGTCTAATTGTCCGACTTCGCAATATTCATAGACGATCACAGGACCCACTGAAATAAACCAAGGGGTCGTGCTTGACTTTATCCAAATAGATTCATATGACGTGACAAAGGGACCGGCTCACCATCTGTTTGACCAATCATACATTAGTCTCAGAAACAGGAATTTTTTTAGCTAAGCCAAGCAGTAATAGTATTCACAGCTCACTGTCTAAATTTAAGCCTTCAAATCCATGTGTGTCTAGAATTATCTACGTTTGAAAGTTAAAATGACGATTCGTCTTTTCTTGAGACTGCCATATATAGAAAAGACATATATAGAAATTTCTAATTTGAGGTATATTTGAAGGAATTATGTGATTTTCTTGCAGATCTAGTTCTTCTGACGGCTATTGAGGCCTACATATATTCAAGACTCAAATCAACTCCCCAAAATGGCGAACCATGGTCTTTAACTTACATGCATCATTGTCCACTACAGCTCCGATGAATTCCACTATATTCGGGTTTTGACCAACTGCGGTTGCTGCAAAATTAACCTTAGCTTTCATCAACAACGCATCGTCTTCCGTATAATTATCTAAAATATAATACAGATACAAAACAAAGTATAACAACTTAAGTTTATGAGGATTCTTTCTACAAGCTGGTCCTTGATCAAACCTCTTGGTAATGATTTTACAAGGTTAACAACTTAAGTTCACAAGGATCCTTTCTACCAGCTAGTCCTTGTCCAAAACTCTTGGTAATGATTTTACAAGGTTAACAACTTAAGTTCACAAGGATCCTTTCTACCAGCTGGTCCTTGATCAAACCTCTTGGTAATGATTTTACAAGGTTAACAACTTAAGTTCACAAGGATCCTTTCTACCAGCTAGTCCTTGTCCAAAACTCTTGGTAATGATTTTACAAGGTTAACAACTTAAGTTCACAAGGATCCTTTCTACCAGCTAGTCCTTGTCCAAAACTCTTCGTAATGATTTTACAAGGATAATAACTTAGGTTCACAAGGATCCTTTCTACCAGCTGGTCCTTGATCAAACCTCTTGGTAATGATTTTACAAGGATAACAACTTAGGTTCACGAGGATCCTTTCTACCAGCTGGTCCTTGATCAAACCTCTTGGTAATGATTTTACAAGGATAACAACTTAAGTTCACAAGGATCCTTTCTACCAGGTGGTCCTTGATCAAACCTCTTGGTATTGATTTTACAAGGATAACAACTTAGGTTCACAAGGATCCTTTCTACCAGCTAGTCCTTGATCAAACCTCTTGGTAATGATTTTACAAGGATAACAACTTAGGTTCACGAGGATCCTTTCTACCAGCTGGTCCTTGATCAAACCTCTTGGTAATGATTTTACAAGGATAACAACTTAGGTTCACGAGGATCCTTTCTACCAGCTGGTCCTTGATCAAACCTCTTGGTAATGATTCTACAAGGATAACAACTTAGGTTCACGAGGATCCTTTCTACCAGCTGGTCCTTGGTCAAACCTCTTGGTAATGATTTTACAAGGATAACAACTTAAGTTCGGATTTTCACGATGGATCTAAAGCAATAGTGAGGAAAGATGACTTATTCAAGGTCACCCAATTTTCACACGCCGACCCAGATTAGAAACAACGAACACCATATTCGACATAACCAATCAAATGACGTCATGTAAAGATTCCAACGCTCTAACCAACTGAACTACAACCCACCCTCTTAATGAAATGAACATGGAAATAATTTACCTTTTAACATTTTTGCCACAACCAGTTCCGATCTTGATTTGATCTTGGCTTGTGAGATTTTAGCAAATTTTCCAATAGTGATTGGTCCAAGCAGAGTCAATTGGGTGTGCGATATTTGCCACGACTGTCCGTTGGTGAAATCCATACCACCATACAAATAGACATCATCCTCCCCATTGTAGGCGTTGTTCTGGAATATACAATGAAATGAAATGAATGGAGTTTTACGTCCTACTTTTCTGCACCATGTGGGCTAATGAAGACGGGCAACGCCATGAGGGAAATTTTGCCGGACAGCGGCATTAGCCTGCTCTTTTTCGATTTCCAACTGTCCAGGGATCTTTAACGTGCACAGCCTGTAGCACACGGGGCCTCGGTTTATTGTCCCATCCGAACGACTAGACGCTTTTTCCATGTCAGCCCCTCGTACCTGCATCACTGACAGGGGGAGACCGGATTGAAATATCCGAAGGTATTATCTTGACATATGCCGGGATTGAACCTTGGACCTTCAGGTTAGCGAGCAAACGTCTAACTCACTGAGCTCCCATGGAATATACAAGGAACCGTGGCGTTTCGAGGAATCATCAGATGGAGGTGCTGCAGAGTCATTAAAGAAGGGGGGTTGGAGGAGTGCTTGGCTCACAGCAGTAGGTATTAAGAACTCAATGATAAAAATTTGACTCTGGGGAAGGGAAGGGGGAGCCTAGCCAAGCTTATTTTTGAGAAACCCCGCTTACAACGTGAGTGGTTAAAGACGTTGGTCTTTATTGGTTTGTAATCGTTTTAAGTTGTTGGCTGTGTTCAAGGTGGTCGTTTACTTCGTCAGTTGTAGTCGCTTACGTCATGTATTGTAATCATTTACATCTTCTGTTGTGGTCGTTTACTTAGTCAGTTGTAGTCGTTCACTTAGTCAATTGTAGTCGTTTACATCATCAGTTGTCGTTGTTTACGTTATCAGTTGTAGTCGTTTACGTCATGTATTGTAATCATTTACATCTTCTGTTGTGGTCGTTTACTTCATCAGTTGTAGTCGTTTACTTCATCAGTTGTAGTCGTTTACGTCATCATTTGTAGTAGTCGACGCCATCAGATAGATCACGTATGATTGTATGGCTTCTCCTAGACCCCTAGTACCCTACTCAACACACTCCCCAACCTATACCCCTATCTTGAGATAGAATAAGATTTATAAGATAATATTGCAGTTCATATCGTTAGTACTTGGTTTAATTATTAGAATACAACTCACAGTAAATGCTGCTGATGTGGAAGGTCCTTCAGCTCTATAAACTGATGGTCTGTCCTTTTTAAATGGTCGTCGATTTGTTACAAACAGAAACAATAAAACTAAAGCAATGATAACTATCAACAATACAACTGAAAAATAAAATGAACTGGAAGTTAACGTCTTACTTTTCCTGAACTCGATTGTGCTTACACAGACGGACAGCGAAAATTGTGTAGGTCTCTGGCATAAGCCACAGTAAGCTGTCTGGTGTTTTGAATCATCTCCAGGGATCTTTGAACGTACAGCTGGTAGACTTTCGTTGGACTAATGAAGCTAGTCAAATCCTTGACTTGCCGAAGGAAAATAGTCAACGCTAAATCTTTGGACGTACAGCCCATAGCGCACGAAGGCTTGGTTTATTGTGCTTGTGTATACTTACCTATTATGATTCCTGCAATGGCACCACCAGACAAACTGTCGTCCTCTGCAAGAAAAAAAGACACTTAGCAACGATTCTTACTGATATTCAGTAACATTTCTATTCTACGAATCGTTAGTCGAGTCCAACCGCCCCCCCCCCCCCCCCCCACATCATCCTCCACCCCTCCTTTTTTTCTTATTCAAGTCATTAAACTATGAATGCCCCTTACCTATTGGTCTTTCTCCAATCTAAAAAAATAATTGAAAATTTATCGTTATACACTTTTCGAAATATTATTAGGTCGTTTTGACATATGGACGTTTTTGCTAGAAAAGTTAGGTCGTTTTGGCATTTAGACGTTTTTGCTTGAAATCGTCGGTCCGATTTGATATCTGGACGTTCTTGCTAGAAAGGTTAAGTGGTTTTGACAGTTGTCCTGTCTGGCATGAACGTTATTTCGTTTTGGCATCTGGACATTCTTGCTAGAAAAGTTAGGTCGTTTTGCCATCTAGACGTTCTTGCTTGAAAACGTCGGTCCGATTTGACATCTGGACGTTCTGACTACATCCGGTAGGTACAGAATTTACCTGGAATTTGTATACTCCCTCACCACCGCTCAAAAGTGCAGGATTCTTGACCTCAACTTGCAGTTCACCTGCCAATTCACCGTCGCTGTGACCAAAAAGTTTCTTGTCCAATAAAAACGTGTTCTGCAAGGGTAGACAAAGGTCAAACCGTTCTATACACATGCATCGTTGTATTGAATCACATCTCTGCAAAAACAAGATGGAAGACTAAAAGGGATTGTAAAGAGGTTTTCTTAATTTTTTATGTGTATCAGGGACACTGATAGCATCAATTTACACCATTCTAATTTTCAATCAGATGTCTGTGGTTCTTGTTAAAGAGATTGTAAAGAGGTTTTCTAAATTTTTTATGTGTATCAGGGACACTGATAGCATCAATTTACACCATTCCAATTTTCAATCAGACGTCTATGGTTCTTGTTAAAGGGATTGTAAAGAGGTTTCCTAATTTTTTTATGTGTATCAGGGCCACTGATAGCATCAATTTACACCATTCCAATTTTCAATCAGACATTTGTGGTTCCTGCAATTCCAGTAGGCGTTTAATGGCGACATTATCGCTAAGGACCTCAGATAGATAGCATTAATTATGTCACCTGATTTTCAAACCTATCAAACGAGCTTCTCATACGATTTGTTTTGTAAAAATGAAAACACACGACAACCCCTCTGGAACATTCGCCATTTTCGGGGATGGTATGTGTACCAAATTATGCCAATGAATTTAGTATCAAAACAATACCTCCAGTCTTGGCCAGTTCACAGTGCCGCTTGCTTGTTGTTTCGTAACGAATTTGGTGAATCTCCATTCAATGTGAGAAATCCCACTTTCCTGATCTTTGGCCAAGACGTACAAACTGTCCAAAGTAAAAAAAAAAACAGAATTTGTTAGAAAAAGAGTTTGTACCCCCAATTTTACAAAAATACGATATTTGCCCCAAAATATGTGTCAGGATATACCAAATTAATTCAATTTTTGGAAGATTTTCT